TGCAGCCCAACCCAGAAAGGCGGTAATTTTTAAAAGGCCTTTTTGCTCTTTTTTTTTTTTTTTTTTTTTTTTTTTTTTCCTTCTTGCAAACAACGTCAGAGTAGCACAGAGGATCAGTATCTGGGAACAGCTTTCACCCTGATCACTGTTGTACATCCAAAACAACAACCTATCGTATTGATTTTACATAGAATCTTATGCTGAAATATATTACTTAGTTGTATACAACACCGACTGCACGACTAAAACCTTGCACTTAATGTAACACCAAACTGTTTTGAAGCAATTGCTTCAATCTTGTTCTTTTTTGGAGCTCTCTTAACGACGTCGACACTTTTCAGCTTTTTGACTGGCCCATTAAACTCCTCCAGCTCTTTCAAGCTGCCGTCCCTCTTCTCCTCTTATTGATGCTCATTTCGATCAAGATTGCTGCCCAGAAGGTCATTTTGCTTTGCCATTTCTTTTTTTCTTCCCAAGCGGTCACCAGACTATCCGAGTACGGTAACGTTGCTGTGCGCAGTCCATTATATTCTTTGTTCAAATACAAAGAACATAAACCAAAAGTAGCATGCCAATTTCAGGAAAACTTCCTGAGCTCAGACGGAGCATCTGCACAACATATTATGAAAACAGTGTTATTTGCCAGCTGTTTGTTCAATATGCACCAAACATTTTCATAAATTTGACAGCAGAGGAACATCTGTGTGTTATATAGTATGTCGGCAAATTGTAACTTTCCTCCCATCGAAGTTGTGGACAGAGCGATGCTGAAACTTTTTTTTTTCTTTCTGAAATTTCCTAGTTTGAATAAGAAAATATCCATTCATATGAGAATATAGCAATCTTTATGAAAGCTGACTGCTACATACTGAGCAGGTATAAAAACAGACATATTCCATTATCTGGGGATATTTTAGTTTTTATACTATCTGTGTTAACAAGAGGTGGTGGTTGTTGTTGCAGGAGGGTGGGTGGAGGTTGCTGTTTTTTTTTTTTTATTTCACAACACTTCATTTAATTTTTGGCAAAACAAACCTCAGTAGTTTACATGCGAAATTGATCTGTGCAAATAATGGTCTGTCAACTTTTTGTTGTTATTTTTGCTTGTGACCTCAGAGTTTACTCTAATCTTCAACAGTATTTTCTTTAATTATTTCTCTGCCTGTTGTCGAGGGCAAATTTGTGCAAGTAGGTATTTTCGTGTAAATGTTTTTGCCGTATTTGAATCGCATGCTCTCCTTTCTTTCCTGTTATAAAGAAATGGACATTTTTGTCACGTTATACTTATACTCCAGGGAAAAAGGAAGTAATAAAAATGCTTCGACATTTAAGTTGAAGAAATATATGAATTTATTATATGTATATACTATCTGGGAGTTTTGTAGAGAAATATACTTCTTAAAATAATATCCTGAAATTCAAGGTTGGATTACTGAAAGATAGATGTGATTAATTATGTAACTGTTTAAATGAACTTTTGCCTGATGAACTGTTTACTATATATTTTGGGCTAGTATATTTGGTGGAGGGATTTTTATACATGTTATTAATTTCCGGTTGACTGTGTTGGGTTGGTTTATTTAATTACGCGTTCTTGTATTTATTCATCTACACCTGCTTTATTGATCTTGTTGTACTTTGTGAAGAAAAGTCTTACCCATTTAAAAAAGCCAAACGCGAAGCAAGTTTTCAAACTCTGTATTTGCTCCTGATTGACCTCACATGTGTATCTTGGATTTGAAGAACATTTAGAAAAAAAACTTTTCATTTGAAATCCTGAACTGCGTTGTGCTGAAAAAGTGTGGCAGTGACGGACAAAACTATCATGCAACTTTTAATAGAGCCCCGGCGCATTTCAGTTGCAAGTCAATCAGCCACTTGTGCATACTGTATCGCTATCAATCCCTGCTCCTCTGCAGACAGGATGATCCTCTTAGCGCCTTAGCAGTCTGGGACACCGTCCCCACCTCTCACTTTTGCCAATTTGCTCCTGGAAGACCTGGAGTCCTTGTCTTCATTAAAGGAGTTCCTCATTGATCAATCACTGTCAGAGGAGTTGGTCTGTAATTGCGCTTTGGCCTAATCATGACTGACGTCTCATCCCCTCGCTCTGTCACAGGTCTCGGGAGAGAGAATGTTCCATGACTTTCACACCTTCAACCTCAAGGTAGGCCTCCCTTCCTCCTGTCTGTGTGGCTTATCTTTTAGGTGTGTGCCATCCTCTAATGAATATTAAGACTCATTTACTCATTAGCGGAGAAAGAGGACATGTAAATGAAGACGAAATTGACTTTTTGAATATTTTAGAGCTCCATTGACCTCAGGGGTTTGAGACTTAGTTTTTATATAAATTATTATATTCAGCTGGTGTAGTGTATGATAAAAGGTCTTTGATTTGTTATTAAGTATTTAAATTCAAGGGTTAAGACACTGTTATTTTCTTTCTCTTTGTAATAGGATTTGTGGCTCATATAACACATGCGGGTTCTGTTGTTTGATTAATTTGTGAGAAATTAATCTAAAAGAAAAGATGCCATGGAAAAAAAAATATAGGCAGAAAGCTTTAAATGATTAAAGGAGGTCTGTGTCAAATGTATCCATACGGCATGAATGAAAGCAGCTCGTGTTCATCAAGCCAAATTTAAAAAAACAGGGAGAGAGCCAACATTTACTCAACCAGTATTTAATCTACAGGTTGAAATAGAATGTTGCAGAAAATGTTTGGACCTCATATTTAAAAATAATAATAATGCAAAAAAAAAAGGAGACGCTTAATGTTTGCAAGTTACTCAGTCGGTGCTCATTAGTGACTGCTGGCAGGATGTTAAATATGAAACGTTTGCTATACTCACTGACCAAAATTGACCTGTCAGCACAATTCGTTGCACACTACTGCGCTTCGCATACTCAAGTGATTCACGGCAGCCACACATTTCAGGCAGATGACTTGTTAGGGGTGATATAGTTTAGCCATATTGTAATCTCAAACACAAACACAGACAATCATTCGGATCGTGTTCCGTGATTCTTTTTGTCCAGACGCAGCTTTTTCGAAACGATGGGAAATCCGTTATGTGAACGACGTTGTGCGTGCGTGTCGCTATGAAGCCGTATGAAAGCTCGGTACCGACTGTGTTTCGAGTGTTAAACCTCTGCGGAGTGCTACGTTGTTTAAAATGAATACGAAGCGCATTAAAGGAGTGATTTTCCAGTCTTAAACGGATAACTGTCCCTGAATATTAAACCCACCAGGCTGCAACAAAACCAGAGAGCCTGATTTGCGAGTCTCGCATTTGTGCATCTGAAATAGGTTTTTACATTGGTTTGATATCGCAGATTACTCTCACTCCCTGTGTGATCCTGCCTTAACACACGGTTACTCATTCTGTAAGCGTGATGTTTCTGAATGCCCACTCGGCTTGGGCTCAGTCCAGTGTCGAAATAAAAACAGCCAGGCTTGGCGTCTCACCCATATTATCGTTATTTCATTCTTTCTCGTTCTTACTTTTTTTTTTTTTTTAAACAATACCTGTCAGCTACTGTGGAAAAACTCCACATGATCCGCCTCCCTCAGCGCAGCCTAAAGATATGACCCCCAACCCCCAAAAAACAACCTTTTTTACTGAGAAATACTTAATTCAGTGCCTGCTGGTCTAGTTTAATATTTCCAAATGTCATCTGTGTGACATTTGTTGCACAATCGCCCATGCTTTGACTGGAGGGGGGATTGCGTTGTAGATCCTAGTCATTTTGAAATCTGGCTGCACTCAGAGTCAGAAATGCTAAACTCTTTGTCCCTGCAAAATCAGGATTTTGTTGATGAACAGTGCTGCTCAGGCAATATACAAACAGCATAGTGTGAAAATTGCTTTTCACTGATTACACAATGCAACACAATCAGTATTTTTTTTTTGCTTTATTTATCTGTCTGGCATAATTCTGTTTTAGTAGAACTTTCATAACTTTCACCAGTGAAAGTAAAAAAAAAAAAGAAGCATTAGGTTCTGCAAACAGCAAGTCTCTGCTGCCACTTTTTTTTTTTGCGATATTTAAATGAATACATTGCGCCGTGCCTTCACTTATCAATAAATAGACAAATTACCAGATGTGACAGTGTGCTGAGATTTAGAGATGGTGGCATTTCATCGGGATTTCATTGTGAGCCACGGCTGTTTGGGACCGCACGCTCGAGGGGGGGAGAAAAAAAGTTTTTAAATTTAAAATGCAATCAGCACAATCACCACAAGCAATCAGTTCCTCTTCATTTCACCTGATCGGGCCCCCCCGCTAAAGACGAGCTTGTTAAATGGAGCATCTTATCAGGCCTGGATTAAGTTTTGACTTTGATTAACACATGTAGTCTGAGTTTTGAATGTCAGAGTTCAAGTTTTTGAAACAGTTTTATTATTTTTATTTTTATTTTTTAATGGAAATGCCTTCAAGTTTCATTGTAAGACAAGGTTTGTTTGTCTGAATAAAACATGCTAAAATTGCACAGGATTAAAATATTCTCTATGAATTTAAAACTGTCGGGGGAGTTTGTTGTGTTCTCTGCTGTCTTCGACCCGTTTCTTGCTGGCTTTGTTTCAACTAATCTTGCTTTCTGTTTGCCTCTCAACATCGCTCTCCAAACATTGAACAAATATGTTGGAAACATTTTGCTGGGAGTATTGAAGTAAGTTGCATCAGGCTGAGGCCGTTCGGAGTTGCTAAACACGTTGATCATTAATATGCGACAGCAGTCCACTTTATTTGAGAGTGTAGATGTTCACCTTAATTTAATGTTTCTGATACATTTCCTGTAATACGGAGGTTGACATGGGGTTGATAAACGGTGTAACTTTACGCCGTTCAGTCTTCCTAGTATCGACTGAAGGTCTTGCTCTCTCGCGCCGTCTTGCAGTCCAAATAAAACGCTGATTCAACATATCACAGAGAAATAAATGACAGGTAAAAGCATTCTCTCCTCTGAGGCAACTTCCACACCGAAGAGTGTTTTAAGAATTATAGGAGTGTTAAGGTTTAAGTTTGGTATTGTGCATTCACCGTTGACAGCTGATCTCTGGTCAGGGAAAAGTCCTCCAATTCTTGTCACTGGACGATTGCTCAGTACATCTCTAGTGTCCACACATCAGATACAGTCAAATTGAAAAAACTGGAATGTTAAGAGAAAGTTTATATGCATCAGTAAGTGAAACATATTGTATAGATTAATTACACACACACACACACTCTGATGCTTTAAAGCTTCTATCTGTGTTAATAATGAAGATTCCTTGCTTGCAGCTAATGTAAATATGCCATTTAATATTAGAATATTACACAGGTGTCAAACTCGAGGCCCGGGGGCCAAATATGGCCCGTCGTAGCTTTTTATGTGCCCCTCTAGTCTCCAAATTACATCAATAAGTCCTTCCTGTTTTTCACAAATCTGCAAAATTCACACAAAATCAACAAATTTCCAAATTATTTTCTGATTTTACTGCAAATTTTCTCAAAATTGGTCAAAAACATTGAATTCGTAACTGATACTGCGAGTGATGGAGTAATAAAAATTCCTAACACGCATTTCTAAATGTTCACCACAAAATCTGTCATTTTGATTAAAAAAAACAAAACAAACTTAAACGATCACAAAATCCCAGAGGAACAGCTATTTATCAATATTTTCACAGTTTTAATTGGTTTTATCAATACCTTGTGGCACAACCGGCCCTTTAAGGACATTCCTTAAAGGGCCTACTCTGTGGTAGGCATTGAGTTTAAAAGGGCTGATAAAGTGTGACAAGGTAGCACCTTTAAAATGTCGTAGCTGAAGTTCATTAGAGAAGCTACGTCAAGCTGAATTTTAATGTCACTAAAGCTCATCTCCTTTGGGAAAAGTCTATCCAAGTGCACACAAGCTTCGTCCACACGTATTAAACCGTGGCCCCTGTTCACAGAGGGATAAGGAGGAGAGGACATCTCCTCACAGCATCCTCAGACACAGCTGCGGCCATGCCCCTAAAATCTAGGTTCACTTCCCTCTGGAAACAGGTCAACTGTGAACACCTTGCGTCTTCTACTCCAGATCTTTGCAGATTCTTAATTAACTCTTACAGTACATAGAGCGTGTGCTGCTAAATGTTAAAAATGCCGAAAGCTAAAAGAGGGCGGCATTTTTGCCATAAATCTCCCATCTAAGAATCAGCTCTAAGGACTGCAGAGGCACAAATATGCTAAGTTGATCCACATTTAGACAGTGAATCATTCAGATTGCACCGCTGCGGCTGCTTAATTAAACGCTCCACCGTGTAATGACTTTCCTTGAAAGGGAGTTAAATGTCTAAATGCTGCAGAATCGCTGTGGAGCTGAAGAGAAATCAATGGGACACAGTGCACGAAGTGAAGGTGTTTTCCGACTTTGTTTTTTAGAGTGGATGTTTTATATTGACGCTGTCCCTCACCCACAGAGCCAAAAGCTCATTTCTCTTGGTCCAGAGCATCGATCGGTGATGTACAAATGCTGTGCTTACTGTGTGCTTTCAGCAAACCCAGGTCTTTATATTTGTTTGTTTTTACTTCACTACTGTACATGTAAGGCTGCATTTGCATTTAGATATATAAAACCAGTGACTAAGGAGGATATTCAACAAAGTTATTTTGACATGATGAACTGGAAACCCCCAGGTTTACATCTAACCCTTTTTCTCATTCCATCTGTATTAAGTTGTTATTAAATGAGGTACCTTATGAAATGGGAATTAGTTGCAGCCAATCGGACAACCTTTTCACATGATCAGGCCCATCTCAGACCTTTAAACAAGAAGTGCCCTCCATCCCTACAGCTGCGAAGCCTAGTGGTTGGGAAAAAAAAAAAAAAGTTCCCAACAGACACAGTGACCTGAGTTTGAATCCCCCCGCAAGGGTTCCTGGCTCATCTTGGTTTAATGCGCTTGTCAAATGTTTTGTGAGGTTGTTCTGAAATTGGAGCAGAACTCTACTGTGTTAAAAAAAAAAAAAAAAAAATCTAATAATTTCACCTGTATTTGCTGAATGTAGCAACCTGGAGTGTATTTTTTGGCTTAAACAAAACAACAACAAAACAGCAACAACAAATAAATATATAAAAAAAAATACTTTTATGAAGATGTTCTAACAATGTTCTTAGCTTTTTTTGGTTATCAG